TTTCTACTCCCGTAAAGATTTACACCCTCGGAAACCCTGTACAGGGTCGCTATGGGTCGGAACCAACTCGACGGCACTTAACAACAACATGTAACAGCAGTTATCTTTACTTCCTCCCCATGGTGCACTCTCCTTTCTGTCTCTTCTCAGCTTTATCCTTAGATAAATACAGGGTTGCTATGAGTTGGAACCAAATTGATGGCCTTTAACAACAGCAACATGAGACAACAACAATAACTAGAGATCATGAACTGTTGCAGACCATGTGTAGACTATATAGGCCGCAGGCTCTGAGGAACAAATTTTGGCCACTGGCAGTCTTATCAAATTGTTTTAAATCTTAGTATTCAGTTATGTTGAAATTTAAATGCAGACATGAGCCCTTATTATCCACAGAGAAATATTAAAACCTCCGAAAGCCCAGACTGTAAAGGTTGCAAGGTCAAGCCTTCCTCCAGAGGATTAACTAAAAATATCTTAGCTACTTCACAGTTCTTTGTTCTACAGACAAAAAAGCCATCTTCTGTGAATCTCTCCCAAGTGCAAGTTCCTGAAAACTTGGCTCAGGAAGCCGAAACAGCGGGACTCAACCCAAGCCTTTTGTGCTTCCCTCTCACCTTCCCCCAACTGAGTTCAGGGGCTATAGATATGTTAATTGAGCCTGAGAAACCAAGTTGTGGGCCTGGGATTCGAACCAGCGAAGTACCATGTAAAGTTACCTGAAGGTCTGTAAAAGTACTGATATTAGCTGTACCTTGCCTTGGTCCCTCCCAGCTTGGTGTGAAGCTCCTCCCCTAAATAAAACAGAGGCCCAGGCCTGCCCAGGTGTGCATTACAGGTTGGAGGGCATGCAGTAAAGATTGCAGGGCAGTGAGTTGCTGCCTGCAGAGGCCACGATGCCTGTAGTCCCAAGTCTGCCCACCAGTGATGCAACCACCCTGGGTTTGGGGTGCCTCCTTGTCCCCTTCCTTCTGTCTGTGTATTCTTTTACTATCCCTGTTGCCACCGGATATCCTCTCCTCGTGAACCAAGTTCCTATGTCGAGGACAGTCCCCGACAATGAACCTTTCTTTAGGTTTGTTGGCTGCCTGAATGTCTTCTTTGTTGCAGTGCCTGTTTAGTGACGTGTCTGTTCATGTCCTCTGTCCATTTTTTTCTTTTTAAACATCTTTTTTTTTTTTTTTTGCATGGGTGAGTGGATGGAAGGGTGGGTGGGGAAGAGTAGGAGTAAGGAGTTAGGGTTGGGACTATGATCTAGGACTTTGTTTAGTGTTCGGATTATGCTTAGGATTAGGGTTAATGTTAAGGTTAGGGGTTGGTCTAAGAGTAAGGCTGGTTGTAGTTTGAGGGTGACAGATTTTATTTTAATTTTTTCTTGAAATTGATTTAATTTTTCCCTTAGTTTGAAAGTTCTGTAAATGTATTAATCTTTTTTTTTATTTTTATTACTTTATTATTATTTTGTTGTTGTAAAATGGTATCTCTGGTTTCCTAATTTGAATTTTCTAGATTTGTTGTCTGCTGTTGTTGATATTTTGTCCAAAGAACTCCCTTTATTTATGTTTTTTTCAAAGGTTGGTTTCCTTTTTGCAAATTCTTTTAATTTCTCTTTTCCTGGAAATGTCCTAATTTTGCTGTCATATTTGATGGATAGTTTTGCTGGATATATGATCTTGGTTGACTTTTTTTTTCAGAGTTTTATATATATCATCCCATTGTCTTCCTGCCTGTTTGGTTTCTGCTGAGATATCAAAGCTTAGTCATATAAGTTCTTTGTAGGTAACTTTTCTTGAGCTTTCTCAAAAATGCTTTCTGCATTTTTTCCTTGTCTCTGATTTTGAAAAGT